CTTTCTACCAGCATGCTGCGTGTTGGGGCCCTGAAGCTTCCGCAAGGACTGTTCGCACTGATCGCTATGCTGGCGTATTTGCTTGCTATCCAATTTTGTGTTTCTGGACCTTTCATGTTAGACGTGGCTACGAACCCTACATCTGCCACAGTGGCGGTGTAGCTTGCGACTTGCCATCTGAACCCTAAACCCTAAACTTCACCCTAAAACCCTGAACCCCAAACGCTACGGTCAGCCCAAGCTGAGATTTGCGTGCCAATCCTCACCCGTCCTCGACCGGAAGATGGCGGACGAAGCACATGATCAGCTTGCTTGTCAGTCCAAAGTCCTCGGAGAAAAGCCGCTGGTGAGATTGCTTGTGCCGAGGACCGGCGGGACTCAGATGCTTCCTGTAAGGAGACCCTCGGCCCGGCCCTAAAACCTAAAACTGGAATTCAATCGATCGCACAAGAACCTGAAAGCGCCCTGAAGGGCACCCGACAGTGCCAGGGAGCCGTCTCAGCCTTCTTCAGCGCCTTGGTGAAGCCCTGCGCCAAGCTCAGGACATCAACCCCAGCCCTGCTTGAAGGCTTGTGCTGAGTCGCCTGACAGGTTTTACTTATGTCTGCCCACGAGCCCCATGAACCCCATCAACCCTATGAACCTTCATTCAGCTAAGCCCTCAAAAAAAGCCAAGCAAACCAGAAGGAAGACCTAAAACTTAGCCGTGTACCGAGACTCTGAGCCTTGAATGTACTCTCCACTTCAATCCAAAATTAACTGACCTTCAACTTTCAAACCGTCCCCCAATGCGACCGCAAGTATTGGCAACTAACCAGCTGCCGAAGCCCTCAACTGCAAAGCACCTTAGAATTTGGTGTTTTGCTTTAGCGCAACGTTCGGGCCAGCAAGCTTGCTTCCGCACAGGGCCCAAGACTTACAGACACAGCTTATTTGCTTACGAGGACGGCGTCATTCAGTTCAAGGTCATACCCGGAGAGAGGTGGCATCGAGATGCGGACAGTGGCAGAGCAAAAGCCCCAACACCCTGAACCCTCCATCCTTGAAAGGGACTGCCTGAATAAACGTCTCAAAGGGCACTTTCCGCTGCATGTGCGGCTGCGGGTCAAAGAACACCTGCTGCGACATGTCGGTGCTTGAAAGGGTTGCGTCTCAGCTCGAGCTGGAAGAAAGAGCTGACAACTTTGCATGACAAGGCTTTTTGGCAAGCCTGCCGGACTCGCATTGAGTAGAGAAGCTTGTTCTAGCGCAAGTCATGTGTCAAGCAAAGTTTCGGGAGCGATGCGGGGCGAGGATGGCCATTGTCTGGCTGAAGCGGGCGTGGCGGCACGTATATCCGCACTTAAGCATGCCCTGTCGCACCTCCACATGTCGTGTATTCTGGCTGTTGACCTTCGTCAGGTAGGCCCATGCCAGTTCGAAGAAATCAGATTCATCCACCTCAGGTGTAGGCGATTCAAGGCTTAAAGCCGCTTCAGCTCCTTGGTGCAAAAGAACTCAACTGTCGCAAGTCGCAAGTGCTGCGCCTGCCATTCTATACACCCAAATCCTCAACGCTTGGTTCCCATGTGTTTCCGCTTAAAGGGCTTGAATGCTTTTTGTTCATGCTGTCGTATGGATAGGCTTCAAACAGAAAATCGCCCGCAGATCCGATGCAGCTTTCGATCCTGAAAAAGAGCCTTGAACATCAAACCCGCAGCCCGTCTTCAGGTTTAGCGCCTGCAAACAACGAGCAGAAAACCGCAAACTTTGAACCCTAAACCCTAAACCCTCATCCGGCAGGGGGCGAGGACACTCATCCCCTGATAGTAGAGCTCCAGGAAGGAGTCCAGGCTCGTGAAAAGGTATGCCTTGCAATGGCTAAGGGCTCCCAAGGTCTGTGGCTTGTGCGCTTCGAGGGCGCATCCAGTCAAGAGATTCAGGGGTTCAGGGGGGTATTTAGGCCTGGCCGGCCTTGCTGTGAGCACTAGCTGGACACATGTGCTGCCTTGTTTGAGCACCCAGGGCGTCTTCCCTCCGTGTGGGGCCGTTGGAGTTTTTCAACCATTCTCCTCGCCTCCTCGCCCGGTCTCCTGGCCTGGTCTCTGGAGTGCCCACAAAATCCCAACTATCCCTGGAGTGCCCACCCACAGAAAAGCCTGCGGAGAATCCCGCCAAGTATCCTTTGGAGTGCCCGCCCCCAGAGAATCCTGCGAGAGTCCGACCACCTCCAGAGAATTCCGGGAGTGGGAAGCATCGAAGCCCATAATTGAACATGGCAACAACATGAAGGGCATCAGCCCGGAACCCCAAAGCCTGAACACGAAACACGGGTCAATCTCGGCCCTTGAGGTTTGGGGTTTAGGATTCTGGAGATCGGACTCGCGCGTCTGCGATCGGACGCTCAAGCTTCAAGAATGTTATAAGGGTCCAGGGCTGCGGCCGTCACCCTTCAGCCCAAAGCCAAAAAAAATTGTGGTATCAGAGCTTTTGCGCAGGATTGCGCAGGGCTTGACCGAGAAGATCTCAGTTTGTGCGAAGCATCAGCACTACACTGAGTTAACATGTCAACCTAAGAAAAATACCAAAGCCCCAAGGCGGCGTGCCTTCCTGACATCCTCCACGGTGTTGTATTTGATGTCCACCTCGCTTCTGTGCCGGTACTTGTTGTAGATCGAACAACTCCCAAACCCCGGTAAATCCTCGGATCAAAATCCGCCAAGAACCCGGCGCTCACATGTTAAATAAACATCCCCAACCCTGAACAAAACAACCCAAGAGATCCTCTCCCAAACCCTAAACCCTAAACCCTAAACCCTAAACCCTCTCTTCAAAGCAACAGCTGTTTCGCCTTGTTCTTCTTCGCCAGCTTCATTAGCAACTCGGGCTCCAAGGTGCCCTCCAAGTGCAGATGCAGCTCGACCTCTTGCAGGGGGAGGGGCAGGGGGTGGGGTAGGGGTGGGGTAGGGGTCGGGGTAGGGGTAGGGGTGGGGTGGGGGTAGGGGTGGGGTTGGGGTGGGGGGGTGGGTAGGGGTGGGGCAGGGGTGGGGTCGGGCGGCTGATCGGGTGGTCGTCTCGTGGAACCTCATGGGGCGCTCCCGACACCTGATATCTCGATCCTCGGCTCCGAGTGGCAGGCTTCAAGTCGGGCGCTTTAAGGCTTGACTTGAGGGCTTAGGACTTCCGGATTTCGGGGATGCTGAGGTTCGGGTCTTTGGTGGCGCTGCCCGCCTTCGGCACACCCTTGATGAAGCTCTCCTGGCTCGGGCTCAGGAGCTCAAGCGGCTTGAACTTAGCTAGGATGGCCCTTCCTAAATATGGCCCTCTTAAACCCAATAAGGGAAATATAAAATATCTCAAAGGCCCACCGAGTTAGGGTTATTGTCATGCTGAGCTCTTCTGAAGCCTAGTCCACAGGGCGTAGAGCCTTTACGCTCTAGGCGTGCAGAATTTTATCCTCTCGTTCTTTTCTTTGTGGAGATAGCACATGGCTTGGAGGGAGCAAGTCAACCTGAGAAATCTTTTGCCTTCTGTCTTTCTTACTTTGTCTCCCTCCCTCCTCCCCTAATTTAGCTGTCTCTCTAATCCTCCAGAAAATGAGATGAGAGAGATGCAAGAGCACGGGAACCGGAATACCACGGCTTCGGACGTATTTAGCTCTCTCCATCTCTGTTTGCTCTCTTCATCTCTCTTTCGTCCCCCTTCTTCTCCTCTTGTCTTCCTTCTTACTTCTTCTTCTCTGGGACATCTGAGCGACCCGATCTTTCAGTTTCCAAGGCTCTGCGGACAGTTGAGAGCTTGACCAGCTCCGCTAAATTCTTACAACGCGCAAAGGTTGAAGCCTAAGCCATTTCCTAACTTTCATGAGCTCAACAAGTTCAACAGCAATGTACAAAAACTTCAGGGCACATGGAGGTAGTGTTTAGGGTTTCAGGACTCTAGGGGTTAATCTAGACCCAGAGTACCCTGGAATAACATGCCCTTTTTGGTGAATAGGGGTTTATAAAGGGAACTTAAACTCCCCAAAAAGGGAACACGGGCCTACACTGGGTCCTAGTCTCTCGTTTCTAGGGTCTGGGGGTCTCAGGGTTGCTGAGCCAGAGCCGAGGAGCCATCGAGGTGGACATTGCTGCCGCTGGCCGCTTCATGTTGTATGATGGAAGTTAGGGGCGCTGCACGTTGGCAGCGGGAAGACTCGCCCAGCAAGAACACTGAGAGCACAAGATGCAGGTAGGCTGAAGGCTCCAAGTGCTATGTGTTGTGGCAACACTTAAGGCCTTTACGTTTCTTTTTGCGTTTAACATGTAAGCAGCCAATGCTTTGAGCCGGAAGGGACATGGCAGAAGAGGCCACAAACGCCGATGTTTTGGAGCCTGGGATGCGATCACACGAAACCCAAGAACCCTGGATGCCAATCTATCTGAGGGGGGGGAAGGGGGGCTGTAGAGGGGGCGGTCCTTTGTTCCAGATTCACTGATGGAATGTAGATTTCATTTTCGAGCAAAGGGGAGACTCACATTTCATGAAACGGAGACGGTCTTTCGTGCCAAACCGTAGCAAGCCCAGGAAGACAGAAGTGGTGCAAGAGAGTCTTGAATTCTGCATGTGTTGACCAAGTTTCCTATGTCACTTCTGACTTTTTCTGTTAAGATACAGCAGGCAGGGCCTTGCCCTGTACTTGGTGTACTTTTGCAGGGTTGAGCAGGCCGAGGCTGGTCCAGTGGAAAGGGTGGGCATCTATATACATAGATGTAGGTATGTAGTTACATAGAAAACACATCAACAATTAACATTTGTGTAAATATAAATACATAAACAAATGAGTAAATGAATAAATAACCATATATATATATATATGTATATACACACACATAATTGTTAAGCCAGTAAACAGAAGGTTGATGATGTTGGGCGTTGAATGACTTGCGCTTTGGCTAGCTGCTCACACTCGTTCAAGGCCACGAACCCACCTTCAAAGCTCCGAACCCCATAGAAAGATCTGGCATGTGCCCCCGCGTCTCCCGCGGAGAAGGCATTGTCGACATCAGCCGAGACACCTGTTTCAGGCTTGCCAACCCTCAGCCCTAAACTCTGGTTCAGCCCACACTACTTGAAGCAGGTCCAACTCCCTCTGCGGCTACAAGTAGTCTTGAGCAGGTGGCCTTGGGCAATCCTGACGCAAAGCTTGAGCCTTTCTTCACGGGGCTTCTGCTCTGTTTGTCTTTGCCAATCCCCGGAATCCTCCATGGCCATCCCTGCCGACCCGAAAGCTGCAAGCTCAAATGCTTTGCAACCGACATAAGCACTTTCAACATGCTGGTTCAGGGTCCGCCTTTGCTGATCTCAGAGCACGTTCAACTACCACCGAAACACATCAAATCAACGGCGAGATGCTAAAAAAACAACAAACCTCCGAACCATCGGGATTGGCTTCTAGAGGGCATACAACCCTTCCCGCGCTCGTGGGCCTTCTCCTGCGCCGCCTCCAAGGCCGCCTGCATTTCGGCTTTCTCCGCCTGTTTCGCGGCAGGCCACCGTGGCTTAGTAATTTCGGGCTTGAGGCGTAGGGGTGCAGACGCTTGTGGTTCAAATAAGGTTCAGGAAGGCTGAAGGGTTTGGGTGTGTAGAGACTTTTGGAACGTAAGGCTTGTGTGAGAACATGTGAGAACTGTACCCTAACCCTAAACCCCCTAAACCCCCTAAACCCCCTAAACCCCCTAAATCCCCTAAACCCCCTAAACCCCCTAAACCCCCTACCCTAAACCCTAAACCCCAAACCCCAAACCCTTAGGTGGACCGAAGCTCCAAGAGTTGGCGCGCAAGGCTTTGCCCCTGCATGCCAGAGCCCGAACCTCCAAACCTCGCAACCGGCTCTTGGGGGCCGGGGCTGTGGGTTTGGGCTTAGGCTTTAGGGCTTAGGGCTTAGGGGTTAGGGTCTCTGCTGTAGGGATGTTTAGGGTATATGTCGTGCATCGCACGCCCTGGTCTCGGCAGCAAGAATACCCGTCTTGAGCTTGCGTACATTGATTGCCAGAGAGGCCACAAGTGCCCCATATGCCTGCTGGTTAGTTACCATGGTGGAGAATTCCGACACAAAGCGGCCTGACAGGGCTTACAGCACATCAGTATCCGCATGCTGACTCTCCAACTGCTCGTTCTCACCATGCCTTTTCACATCCTGACCGCCTCTATCAGCTTCAATCTAGCTACGAAACAGACTGTCACGCCCGTTGCACCTAAGCAACCCTGAGGATGGGCTTAAACACCCTGCCCGTTTCCAATGGAGATCTAAGGTCTGGGAACTTTAAGGACTTTCTGGGACAAACCCTAACCCCCCACCCCCCCGGACGAAAAACTCAAAACACGTGCCCTATACCATCTAAGCCCCTAAGTCTCCGAGCAAAAGTTCTATGTCCAAACTGGGGATGTTCCCCTTATACTAAGAGTCCTTCATAGGGATTCTAATCGGGGGTACTATAATCCCTAGTAAGGACTGTTCGTCTAAGGGCAATCCTAAAAACCTCCTTCTGTGATGCCAACCTTCCACTGGGCGTGCTCTGCCCGTCGGCTTGCGGTCGTTCTGTCCTGGCAGTCGGTCTTACCAAGGTCTCAGAACCCTCGAGGGTGTCTAGGGTTCAGGGTTTACGCTTAGGCAGGGGTTGAAGTTGAAGGGGCAAGCCCTGCGCTTGATGAATCTGTTGGGCCAGGAGGTGAGGTGTAGGGTTGAAAGGTGGGGAGTGTGCAGGCGCAGGTGCCTGAGGCTAGGCGAAGTAGATTGAGCAATGCGGAACCTGAGCTTCAAAATTCTGACTCCAAAGTTCTTAACCCAAAAGACTTGATGAAAGGCCGAAAGAGAGCTTAGCCGCAGCCCCTGCCTTGGCTTGAAGGAAAGGACGAGGCTCTGAGACGGTAACTCTGAAACCGCCCTGCACCCTTCCGGAGGTTGTTGAGAGGGCTGCAAAAAATTGGAGAGAAGTACATTCTGGCATACATACCTGCATGCCTTGGCAATGATAATACTTCGGCCCCTGAGCTCCCAACCATGCCACAAAACCCGGAGCACTAAAACCAAGCCCTAAACCGCTACTGTAACTCCGAGCCTGCTCGGGGAACCGAGAAACAGCAATGGCAGCGCAGGTCCAATATAGACAATAATGAGCACACCTAGCAAGGCTTCAGTCTCATGGCTTTGGGTTCAAGGCTAAAAAGCCAGATTCCCTAAACCGCAACCCGAATCACGCAGTCGCCGATCCTCGTCAGCGCCGGGCCGTTCTCCTCCTAGCCAGGCATGCCAGTTTGGGGTTTAGAGCCTCAGACTGAAGTCGAGTTCGTGGGGCGGGCATGTCCCAATCTTCCTGGGTGCTACATCGGATAAAAACTGCGAACCTGATGATCAAGATGCGTGTTGATGAGCCTTTTGTTGAATTACCTCAGCATTTCAAACCTCTGAGAAGGGAAGCTATGCGGCTCGAGGCGCCGCATCGTGAGAACTGTGAACGTAGACCCGCGGCTGAAGTGCTGAGGATGCAGGCTTCACTCCTCAACACCTCGAACCCTAGAGTTTAAGATAGTTTAAGACTTTAAGCACCTGCCAGTAGAACCCTACAGCATCCCACGGGTAAAGCCCTCAAACCACAAAGTGCGAAGCCCTCAAAATGAGAAGTCTCTCCAGGGGCTTCGAAGGCCCGCCTCTCGAACGCCACACGGCCAGCTCGGCGTGCAGACGGTCGATCTGATCAAGATGGCACTCAGGACCCGGGGTTTACGTTTTGCGTTTAATGGGAATAGGATTCAAGGGGGGTATAATCTGGAGTTTCTAACCCACACAACCTCAAAAAGCCCTGAAGAAACACGCTGCGGGCCAGGCTATGGAAAGGTTCCGCAAGCCTTGCAGACGCACCATGCTCGACGGGATGGCAATCTGCATCATCTAAGCCAGAAAACCCCAAACCCTGTGCAGGCTCAGGCTGCTTCTGGGCATCCCATGCGGATTGCTTGCCAATGATGCATCGAAAACTCTAGCCCTAGCCTAACATGTGTATCAACAACTGCCATAAACCCCTAAGCCCTAAATGGAGCACACCTTGCAAGGCTTCTTCATGCAATCAACACGAGCCCCTCGGGCCAGGGCTACATGGTTCAGCTTGGTGTGATGGGGGAGCCAACAAGGGCTTAGGACCGAGGTCAATAGGAAGGCTTACGAAAGCAGGGGACCCCTAAAATAGACCCCCATATAGTAGGAATCCCTTATCATAAGGACCCCAATAAGGCACCCCTAATTTCGGAAACCACCAACTCGTGTTGCGCTTTGCTGATTAAAGCCCGAGCCCTGAGTGCCTCGGCCTTTTCTTGGGCCAGCTCCGCCGAGAGATCTTTGCTGGGCGGGCCTGGGCCGAGATGTGCAAATGAAGATCCAGGAATTGGGCTGCAGAGGACAGGAAACTCCAAGAAGTTGGCACAGCCTTATCCCCATATCCCACAAGGTATACTAAGCGAATCCCAGCTCTAATCATCCTTAAACCATGTTCCAACTTTCTGGAGTTCACTGCAGGCGTTGTAGGGTTTTAACCCGTAACCCTAAACTGTAAAGCCTAATATAGCAACTAAGGTGCAGGCTGTCTTAAATGCGTTAGGATTCAGGGAAGAGCAGTCTACCTTGGGGGGGGGGGGGCATTTTCCCAATCCATGGGCTTCGGATAGATAGGGCTCAGAGCGTAGGATTTAGGATTGTTTAGGGTTCACGCTTCAAGCTAAGTACTGCTGGTATTTGGAGTCGTATGGGAAGGAGAAAAAACGTTCCCTAGTGCTAGCGACGCATGCAAGCCTCCAAGAACGGCTTTCGAGGCCGGAGCTTTGACCGTTTCCCCAAAACCCGTTTTGTCTCTTTCGCGGCGTCCGCATGCGCCAACTCCTGCATCTTGCGGAGCTGCGCGAGCGACCTAGCGCAATGACGTTGAGGGGCTGCGTTAGGGCTACTATAGGTGCTTGGAAACGAATAATTAAGGACAAAAGGGAACTAAGTATCTTTCTGGGCTTTGGATCGCGCTCCTGCGAGTGACGCTTACGATGTGCCGTCGTGGTCTTACACTGTTTTGGGTCCATGCTGGCAGAATTTGACTATACTCCCCTTAGAACCTGAATCAAAACAGAAGGGGGATATAGTTGACGGCTGATGGGCTCTTGGATTTTTTGGGGAGCTGGGCAAGGTTCGTGAATTCAGGGCTGAAGGGCGCAAGAGTTTTGTGGTTTTGGCGGTTCACCTCCGGCTTAGCAAGGATTAGGGGGTTGGGTGGGTTCACGGGCTCCTCTGAAACCACTGTGACGGGAAACCGCGACTGCGGAAAACCACGGGACGGTATGACCGGGTATGACCGGGTATGACCGGGTATGCCCGGGTATGCCCGGGTATGACCGGGTAAGCCCGGGTATGACCGGGTATGACCGGGTATGACCGGGTATGACCGGGCATGCCCGGGTATGCCCGGGTATGACCGGGTATGACCGGGTATGACCGGGTATGACCGGGTACGACTCGGGCGTACTCGGGCGTACTCGAGCGTACTCGGACGTACTCGGGCGTACTCAGCGTACTCGGACGTACTCGGGCGCACTCGGGCGTACTCGGGCGTACTCGGGCGTACTCGGACGTACTCGGGCGCACTCGGGCGGACTCGGGCGTACTCGGGCGTACTCGGGCGTACTCGGGCGTACTCGGCCTGCAGTCGCGGAACGCGGCCGCAATGTCTGAAACTAACACAACATAAGTTCAACACAAGCAGCAACGCTATCCTTAAACCATCTTAAGATTCTCCTGAGGTCAAGGGCTTGCCCCTAAAACCTGACCCCAAAGCCGTCGAGTCCTGCATGCGGGTGTGTCCAGTACTCTGTCCCCAGCAACATACATGTCGTTCGTTTTCGAGAGCATGCACCCCCTTAAAGTTTCTGTGTTTCTGTTCTTGGCTCCTCTGTGCAGTCTTCAAAGCCTGACACTTACGCCGCCGAAAGCCCCGAACCCTCCCTAAACCCTAAACCCTAAACCCTAAACCCCCAACCCCCTAAACCCTTCTTTTTTTTGGCCAGGCCCACCTCGCATCCAGTGGTGCCAGTGATGACAAGGAGGCCTGGGTCTAAGCTTGAAGGGAAGTTCGGGTGTTAGCGGGGAAATCGAGGTTTATGGGCTTCGCTCTTAGGACCTTTCAAAGAACCCAAGGTTTGGAGTTCAGCAACTTTGGGGTTTAGTCGTCCCTACACGTGACTCCCGAACCGAACCTCGAGCGCCGCACAGACACCCCAAAGCAGCATTGCAAGAGAAGGGTTTGAAGTTAGGCCCTGGCTTCGTGTTCAAACCTATCATGACAAACTAGGCTCTCAGCCTTATGTCCTTCGTGCGTATGGTATGGTGGTAGAACCCTGAATCTTTCAACGCAGAAGATTCAGTCACAGCTTGCACAGCTTAGAATCACGAATCCCTGAATCAAAGCCGCCCACAAGGCTCAAAGCCGGCCCAGGTGCCGAAAGATCTTCCGGTAGGGCGCTGCAGGCATCGACGCCGGTGCTGCCGACAGCCAGAGCTAACCTCCCATAGCCGGAACATGCCAGAAAGTCCCTGGTGGGTTGTTGCGGGTTGCGTAGAGAGCTGCGTACCTTTGCTAGCATGGTGGAAGGCATGCGCAAGAACATGCACACGCATACGTGCATCTCGACAGCGACACAAGTGTGCGCACAAGAAATGAGGAACATGAGGAGCAGGATGAATGCCCCCGCAACATTCTTGCAAGGTCTAGCGACCCAAAGAAGCCAAAAAAGCTCGGAAAACACCGGGATTTCTTTATAGCAGAGAAAGCATCAGAAGGTGACCTCAAGCCGAAACCCAACATTACCGTTAAGGATCGGAACTTCGGAAGCCCTAGACTCTCCCAAACCTAAGCCCGTCTTTGTCTCCAGTCCTCTAGACCCGAAGCCTCCATGAAACCATGAACTCGGACCTCCCGCCTTTGTGCGTGCAGAAACACGCGCGGGCACCAGGAAACTGCTTCGCCTCCATAGCTCACATCTCCTTGGTTCAAGCCTAAACCCTAAACCCTAAACCCTAAACCCGAAACGTCCCTAACTGCATTGACCCCAAACTCCGGCACACCGACCCCACATCCGGAACCACAAGCCTGAAAACACGTAAGGCCTCAAGAAGATCTTTGGAAAGCTCTAAATCGGAATAGCTTAGGCTTGTAGGGCTCTGTGTGTGTGTGTTGTACTTTTTAAGGCTCCGCACCCAAGGTGTCGCTCAGACCATGCCCATGATTTGTTGTTTCTCCGGCTCTTCAAGAGTTCAAGAGCAAATTAGGCCCAGACTCAAGTTCATTGCGAGTAAGGGTCCTTTTGAGGGGCCTTTCGACTCCTTACGTCATTCTGGCCGTTGAGAAAGTCAGGGCGGCATCGGGGTTAAGGGCAGAGGTTTAGGGTTTAGGGTGGCGGCATAGGGGTTAAGGGCAGGGGTTTAGGGTTTAGGGTTTAGGGTTTAGGGTTTAGGGTTTAGGGTTTAGGGTTTAGGGTTTAGGGTTTAGGGTTGCAGCTGCGGGATCCAGGGCGTTTAGACCTCGAGTTGAGACTTTCGGGTCCCAGGCCCAGAGAGTTCCAGTTCCCAACCCTCGAACCATAGATGCCCCGAGGGCTAATGGTAGGGTTTAGGGTTTAGGGTTTAGGGTTTAGGGTTTAGGGTTTCGGGTTTAGGGTCTAGGGTCTAGGGTTTAGAGTTTAGGGTTTAGGGGTCAGCTACCGGCCATTTCGATCTGCGAAAAATGACACAGCCTACCGAAAACTTACTTCTCCAATACCCATGAAATCAACAGGCTCAACATTTTAATTCCTAATCAAAGGAAACCCATAAAGTTTAAAAGTCATATTGGCTGAGTAAGAAAATATTCTTGAAAGTGGTGGTGGGCGGGAGCCCCTTCGGAATACCAGGTATGGGTTCGGGGTAAATTCCCCAAACCCGAAACCGAACCTCACATCTCATACTTTACTTCATGAACACGAATCCACCAACACGAAACCCAACAAAGTCACCCCATGAGTACATTCCCAACCAAGGCAAGGCTCCAAGCAAAGGGTGCCCCTCGTGAGACAAGTGCGCCCGGATCTGGTGCCGGCGACCCGTGTGAAGAGTGATCTGCAGGGTTTAGGGTTTAGGGTTTGGGGTTTAGGGTTTAGGAAGGCTGGTAAGGCCAAACGTTCAGGCTCTTAGCACGCTCTGGGGAGTGGGGTTGTGCTGAGCAAAGCCCGCTGCGTCATTGGAGTTCTTTGGAAGAGGAGCTCTACCAGAGACAGATTTGCTGCGGGGCCGAGGCCCTGAGGCTTAGCAGGATGAACATGAACCCTTCTCATGACCTGCGCGAAACGGGTTTTCTCGACCACTGCAAGTCCGGTGACTGAACGATCAGCCCACAGATGTAGGGCTCAGGGTTCAGAGGTTTGAGCCTGTAAGCTCCTGATGCCGAAAACCTGGTGGAGCCCTACTTAGCCGTGGCCAGCCTTCACCCCACTTCAGCCACATCCCCCCCCCCCCCCCCCCCCCACCCCCCACCCCCCCCCCCCCCCCCCCCCACACCCCCCCCCCTCCCCCCTCCTCCGCGAAGCTGTAGCGCGCGGCGCGAGAGGAGAAGTGGCACGCGCTTGTGATCTCCGTCTTGGAGAGTCGACCTTGGCACCAAGACCCCGCTAGACATCATCCGAAGTCTGGATGCAGTTGCGGCACTCAGCTTTCCCCAAGCTCTCAAAGGGTTTAGGGTTTAGGGTTTAGGGTTTAGGGTTTAGGGTTGAAGGTTTTTCAGCTCGGGCCCTCAGCTTCTCAAAGGGCTTGGGGTTTAGGGTTGAGGGTTCTCTTTAACCCTCCCGCCTCGTTCGCTGACGACGCTGCGCGCGTCGCTACCATCTTGCTCCTCCACCATCCCGGCATTCGAGATTTGCGGTTTGCAGAGGTTGTCGGAGGGCTGTTTAGACGTGAATGCCGGTTGACGCACAAACCCCGAACCTTGCGCTCTCAAGCTCGTGACCAAAGCTCTTATCAGAACCTTCACATTTAACCGGTAAGCCGATTCGTAAACCTCCAAACCTGAAGACTTTAACCGCCCAACTCCTAAGTACTAAGCTGCCCTAACTAAATGGCTGCAAAAACGCAAAACCTGCGAGCAGAAATGCATCCTGGCCTCCAAAAGCGGTGCCAGGAGCCAGCGCGGAGACGGCGCGAGCCAGCCGCCGCAAACGCAAACCTCGGAGGCTGCGTTAGGGTGCGCTTTACAAGTAGGGTTTAGCCTTCAGAGCATGGGTTTAGCTTCAGAACATGATGTTGACGAATGGGAAGTGCTTGTACGAGAAGGCTTTGGGGGTACAAATGATACGGGTTCGCACGTACTCCAAGGTCCGGCCAGCAAGAACCCGATAAGCTTCATACCCCTCAGCCCCGTCGTGCTTACACAGCCTGAGCTGCCATGGCTGACAAAGGGCATATTCCTTGTGAACGCGCCGGGCCAAGAACTGAAGCTGCGCAAGGAGATAGCCTTCGACAAGAAGAGGTCTTTAGGGTTTGTAGGGCCCAGGGTTGAGGAGAACCTATATGCTTCGAACCCTTGTCGACTCCTTACCAGAAATCATGAGGCACACACAGGAAACGCCATCGGCAGCCATAAGTGGCGAACAGAAGCTGCTGGGTAAAGGCATGCATCCTTGTGCTGACATGCACTCTTGTGGCTTTTGCAGGGTCGCAGACTTTGGGTGGCCCCTGACTGGCATCATCATCACCATCATCATCATCATCATTGTCATCACCATCATCATCACCATCACCATCATCACCATCACCATCATCATCATCATCTTCTTCTTCCTTCGCAGTGAGAGTCGTCCCTCAGCTAGCGTGCGCTACAGTGTGGTTCACCTTGCACACCGGCCGATTACACGGCTTAGCACGTATGCTCTTAGAGAAAAGCCGCTTGCTATTGAAGCGGGGTCCCTGTTTGTACTCAAATAAAAACTCATCGTTCAGTCATCTCCCAGGCTTGCATCTGCTAAGGGCTCGCTGCCCTTGCGAAGAACCTCCTTATATCCTGCGCAGTGACAGAATTGGCTTGTCCGTGAATCAGTCCACGGTTTCCAGATTGATGATGCGAGGCAGGACCCGAGCGTACTGGTTGCGAGCTGACTTCTGGCTCTGACGGTAGTAGTACGCTTTCTGGTCGCAGATCAGTCGCTTGATCTGGTATCACAAGGTGCCGTGTCTCTGCTGCAAGATGCGGAGGTCCTGCATGAGCTGACGCAAGAGGATCTTCTGGAGATTCATGTGGCTCGCCACCTATGCCTCTTCGCGCAGATCTATGTATCTCAGCCAAACTCGAGCCATGAGCACTTGGAGCACTGCTGGACCCTGGCGGTGAGGCCTCTACTCCAGTGGTCGTGGCTGGGCCCAATGCACTTGCACGATCATGCGAAAAGTCGGTGTTTTCACACACACGGGCAATGACAAGAACATACATATCCCGGCTAATCTGCAGAACACTTTCCGAATCAAGGACTTTTGGCGGCTGTGCATCATCAAGTGCTGTGAAGCCTTCTTCACTCGGCAGCGCTACAGTGTAGTGACCTGCTGAAGGTACATTGCCATGATGACGAATGACAGCTACTGTTTTGTAGGGTAGCCACCTTACGCCTATGGCCTGATCTGCAAGGAAAAGCGGCACTTCCAACTCGCGGGGAATGTCATACCACTGTGCTGTTTTGCGTATCCTGCCTTTCCTGCTGTGAAAGCGTGGAAGTTGCAGGAAAAGCCAAGGCATTGGTTGCACCATCGCCTGTCTATGTTCCTGGGCCGACCAGTGGTTTACAAGATCTTGGATGTTGGGGCTATGCTTTGGGGGCGTTAACAACCCTATGCATTTGGAGAGGGGGGTAGGCTCTGTGCAGGCAATGGGCTGTTCTGGCACCTGTCTGCGTCCCTGCCATACCCCTTGGAGAGACCTTGGCAGGAGTCTCGAGTGAACGAAGTCAATGAACTCGCATGTGTCATGCTGGCGCTCAGGCGCTTGCCACCCCAAAGTTGTGAACCCCAGGAGCCCGAAGGCTCTGCCCCTTTGCTGACCTTGTAGTCGCTGAAACACACTTGGCATTTGGGCATGAAGGCCAACAAACTGCACAGCTGCATCTAGGGCATAGAGAAATGCAATGGCATAGCAATGGTTGCCAGGATTATGCAAGCTGAAGTTTGGAAGGCTGCACACATTGGGGCGCGGACGCACTGTTGCAGCATGAGCCACACTTGTCAGTGGCCGTACACCCACTGAGCCAACTGCTCCGCTAGGGGAGACTTCTTGAGTGTTCCCCGTTTCAGGGAGATGCCCACAAGCTGCCAGGCCGAGCTTCCAATCAACGTGCACATTGTCTCGTGCATCTCGTTGGCTTTCTCTCCCCGTAGGGAAATTTCGAGGACGAAAGTGGCTGGGGGTTTGTAGCTCGCGTTCGCTTCCAGGCTTTTCAGTGACTGCGTACTGTTGAACTTCTGCACTATCTCTCCCTTCATGTGCTCCAACAGAAATGTGTATTGGCGCACAATTTCTTGATGACTCATGCTTTCGCGGCTTGCATCTAGGACCATTTTCTTGCTTCGGTGACAGTAGCGCAGGAACGTCCAGCCCCCCGTCTCGTTCATCCATCCTGCTGCCTTCAACTTGCCCTGGCCTTCGCTGGTGGAGGCCATTTTCTGAATCCTGGCCAGGATCTCCTTGATCAAGCACGCCATCAGCAATGTTCTCAGCGGGGATTGAAGCTCCGATGTGGAGCTGTTGTCCTGGCGCCGCTTGTGCCATTGCTCGGAGATGGAATGCAGGTTCGGGATGATGCTGGCATAGTCCTGCCTCATAAACATGATGAACACTTTGTCCACCCGTTGGGCTGCAAGCATCTCCTCGTGCTGCAGCATGAGCTTGGCCATTGCTCGACTCTGCGGGTCCATTGGTGGCTGCTGTTTCGGCCAACGGGGGCCCCTCGGAGCAAATGGCGCCTGGCGAAGAGGCTGCTGCTTGCCACGCTGACCAAACAGTGGACTGGGCTCGGGTCGAGGGCGTTTGGGGGGTTGACTCGTCTCCGAGGGCTCCGACAGTTCTTCCTGCAAGGTCTCCGCTGCGGCTCGCTGCAGCAGTGAAGGATCGCAAAAGGCGAAGATGTCCGCCTCCGGATTCAGTCCCGCTGCATCGGTCCTGGGACCATTGGTAGCGGATTCGTGCTATGCACAGTTGGTAAAGCACAACACATTGTTGGGAGTGACGCCCTGGGGCTCCCACATTTCTCTTGCACCAGGGACAGGTCCGGTTTCGAACCAGTTGGCTTTTGAAGCTGTGGCACAAAGTTAACGCTCTAGCATGTAGACCTGGTGTCTCACCTTCATGAATCTTAACAATGTGCTGTTTTATGTGAGTGAAGCTAGCTACCCACATGTGACACAGGCTGCAATGAGTCTGCAGGTCAATGCGCAGTTGAGGCTCTCTGAGAAGACTCTCCCAATCATGCTGTCTGTTGCGAAAAAGGGCACGATCAATCAAAGGCACGTTTTGTTGCGTGCCAGTCGCTGCGTCAGCCGGGGCTACAGCCGGCACAGGCAGCTGATTGTCCGCGACCTGGGCATCAGTGGCAGATACGGGATGTTTGCTCAGGCTTTCTCCTCCGAGCTTCTCACAAGCACCGCTTTCTATATGCACCCGAAGGTTTTGCCATCGGTAGAAGGACCTCAGGCAAAGCTGGCAGCGAGGAAGGCCGCCGCACGCGTGAATTCGGGGCACAAACTTGACAGGTGTGCTGGCAGCACGTGGTGGCAGAAGCTTGTGGGCCACCTGACAGTGGATTCTCATGGCATTCTCAGTGACGAACATGGCATCACACTCTGGGCATGGTATCTGCGGAGTTTCAGGCTCAGGCGGGGCATCATCATGCTCCGCGTGCTGCGCAATCAGAGCCTGTAAGGAGGCAACAAGTTGCTGCACATGCGCCAAAATGCACTCCTGCGTGGTGATGTCAGGGGAAGCAACGGCCTTGGTCAGCAGATTCTGCTGAAAGCGCTGAAGCGCCGTCAACAGCAGGCTGCCAGGCATGTCAAGGCCCGCCTGGGTCCAAATGTCGCGATTGGGAATGTGTGTGACGTGCGCTGGCTGCTTTTGAATGGCTCTCAAGTGCTTAGTGCAGGCTTTAGTGAGGCGCTCAAGGCCGTGCTTGGTAATGCCCACTGCTGACAGCGAGTAAAGCATACTAGTGGACACACACGCCAACCAAAGCCGAGTCCGGTGATGAATGGTTAAATGGTGTTTACCATTCAAGGGCTTGCGCAGGGCAATGTACTTGGCCTGGCCAGCCTGTACACGATGCGCAAGATTTTTGTCAAGTCGGTGCTGGTAAGTGACTTTGGTGCCTAAATATTCATGTTCATCTTTGACGGGGATGAGCTGTTCCTCGCCGTGAACAGTGATGACAAGATGCCTGACACCATTCTTGAGGCGAGTGTGTTCATGCAAGATCGCCTTAGCTTGTTTGCCTTCAAGTCTTACCAGTATGGCAGTTTTCCGATAGTTTATGGACATTTTGAAGGTGGTAAGGGTCTCAAGCACAACAACAAGCTCATTTATGGCATCGTCCCAATCCTTCTTGTTCTTGACAAGCCAATGACACCAGTGATCGTCGGCGAACAAGACAAGGGTTTTCTGGAGCCATTGTGGACCAAGCTTGTCCTGTAACGCGTGCATCAGCGCAATCGTGTAAAAGGACCAGAGAAAGGGAGCGATGCAACATCCCTGTTTCAGCCCATTCGTGGTGGGCTGTCCCCCAGTGGTATCCCCTGAACGAAAGATGTATTGGGCATCCCGATGAAGCTGCTTAATGATTGTGATTGTGTCTTGTGTCACTCCATGCTGCGCCAATGTTCCGTACACAATGGGCCTGCTGGTGAGGTCATAGGCCCGAGACAGGTCCAGCGACAGACTTAACCCCCCAACGCACGCATGTTGTTTGCGTCCAGAATGCTGCTGGAATCGGTTAACACGATTGGTGCGAAGAAGAACACTAGCGTCCTCAAAGTGTAGATGTACCCGGAGGAGAGCGTCGAAAGTCCCCCGATGCTTTGCGTACGCGTATTGAGGAAGGTTTGTGATCAGAGGGAGCAGCACTTCAAGCAAGGATTGTCGCAGCAACCCGGCTATGAGCTTAGCGCTGGGACATTGCAACCCTATCGGTCTTAAGTTCTCGACAGCGATTGCTGGCTTTTGTGGTTTGGGGACTAGGGTGATATAAGCATCATGTAGCTCATCCTGCAGACACTGTGTACTGCCAGCCTGGAAGTGGTGTCGGAGGGAGTTCCCCAGCACCGGCGCGATGGCTCCTGCACAGCATCGCCACAGAGCGGCTGGCGCAATACCAGCCGGAACTGCCTTGAACACGCCGAGCTTCTGTAGCTCTCGTTGCACATCCTGGTCAGTGCATTGCCAGCTGTCCTGCATGGCAGGGATGTCTGGCTCATCCGGCAGTATGCAGAAAGTGTCCTTGGCATAGTTGAGCATGGCTTGCAGAGCCGCGTCTTTGCCCAGAAGTTGACCTTGTGGGTCACGCAGTCTGGACACAAGCTTCTGGCATCGCGGAGCCAAGCCTCGCACAATTTGGTGGAGCACACGCTGGTCTCCCTTGGCGGCTGCTTGTTCTGCTTCGGCAAGCTTGCGTAGCAGCGACTCACGTTTGAGCAGCCGGCTTTGATCCCGTAGACGCCTGGAGGCCTTGGAAAAGTCACTGGCTGCCTTCCACTTAAGAAAGATGCCATGCGTGACTGCAATGCAGGGCGCCTTGAGTGCTCTGTAGAATTGCCAAGTGGTTTTGGCAGAGGCCCGGAAGGAATCCTGCGCGCTGATTCTGCTATCAGGTCTTATTTCTGGCGGGAAGTGCACAGCTGCAGTTTCAAGCAGGACTTGGTTCACGATGGCACGGGCATCCTGAAGGCTCGAGGGCTGGACCTGAGCAAGGCGGCTTGCCACGTCTTGTTGCAAGGCCTGGGCTCGCTCACTGTTGGTGCGCGTGTGCACAAGAAGTTCGTCTCTCTGAAAGGTGACACAATCAGCTGGTTTGGCAGGCGGCCGGCGGTTAAAAGGCACAACAGCAATGGTGGCCTCAATGGGCCAGTGGCCAGCCAAGCTGTATGCTTTGATGGGGAAATTGTACTTTGGCTTTGCATACCGGGCTGGGCCCTTTGCATCCGATAGCTTGGTCACGACAAAATCAATGCGGGTTCGGCTGGTAGTGGACTCATACGTGTGGCCTGGCTTGGCATGCCAACTGTTTAGGACACAAAGATCACACTTCTCAAGCAGTTTATGCAGTTGCTTGTCGCCTTGCTGTCCGTCTCCCGACAGCAGAGAGCAGCCGACATGTGGCCGGCGCGCAGCAAGCTGGGAGTTGAAGTCACCTCCAAGCAGCAGAGGATTTCTGCTCGGCAACGCTTGCAGTGCGGTCGAGAGCTTAGTCCAGACATCGCTACGATACTGCTGATTGAGGTCTGGGGTGAGTTGAGGCCTATAAACATGCTGGTAGATTCCTATGATGTCAACATTAAGGCGGCTCCGGCGATGGAGAGCACGGACGTGCAGCAGTCTACCCGGATAGATTTCATGGGCTGCGGGCTCTTGAAAGGCATCCTGATTAATCATGATGAGTATCCCTCCATATCGATCAAGACTGAGCTCAGAGTCATACCCAGAGCTGTGAACGCACATCCACTGTCCACTTCGGAAGTCGCTACTGGCTCGCCAGTGCGTCTCTTGCAGAATGATAACATCATAGCAACCTCCCTCAACATCGAGCCATGCAACGAGCTCCTGAAAGCAAGACCCCGACAATCCTCCAACATTCCAGCAAAGAGAGCGGACATCCATGGATTTATGGGGTCGAGCTATCTGTTGTCTGGGCCTAGATGTGAGGATGGCAAGGGGCTCAGAGTTAACTAGGGCTTGAAGTGAGGCTCGAGTGTGCCAGCGGCCTTTGTAGAACGTGCCGCCTTCCAGGGAGGCAGCGGCGCGGTTCCTTGCGCGTCGAAACGCACGCTTGGTGGCTTTGGGAATTAGGGACCCGGGGTTGTGGCTTTCTCTTGGCGCGACACCGTGCTGCTTCCCCCGTTCGGATGAACGGAGTCCCCCACCTACCACGGTAGTAGATGGAACCCTCGCTCCAGCTGCAGATGGGAGTTGTATAAGGCAAAGCTGTAGCATCCTGCAGCCAGCGGACTTGGGACCGCTGCGGCCATGACTAACACTGGGGCTTCGTTTTGAACGGAGGTTAGGTTTACAGGAGTCCTTGGGGCTAAGACAGAGCGCATGGCCTGATGACGAATCCTTGTCCCGAGAGGAGCAGGAGTCGGCTTGCCTCTCCGGGCCAGGTCTGTCAGGCCAACGCGGCGGGGTTCTACTTCGGGAGAGACGACGGGGTCTACAAGGCTTAAGGGGACATGATGTGCTGACCCTGGCCTGCCCTTGGAAGCAGGCTGCGCGCAGGTTACGCGGTCGGTACAGCGCCAGATTGCCACGCTCAGGTGTGAGCAGAGCGGTCGACCTACTTATCTCTTCACGCATGACTCTTCTTACGCACGCAATCCTGCCAATCTCGAAGCCGGACATCAGTGAGCAGTCTGGACACTGTCCACTGCTGAAAACTCCTCTTGGCCCACCCCAGGAAGGCTGCAACCGACCTGCTGCTCGGCGCCGGGCGGGTGGCATTGAGCTTCCATCTTTGCAGACCCAGGGCAAAGTCTCTTGCCCTCTCCAACGCATGTCCCTCCAACTCCAAGCAGACCACACTAGGTCCTTTGGTGTGTCATGAGAGGAGGCATCCTCACTGTCACTGCTGTGCTGGAAACTTGCAACGGCATCTGATTCCACAGCGTTAGCCTGAGGTTCACCATGCTTGCCGCGTCGACGGAACTGCATGCCGTCTCCATGTACTGCGGGAGGCTGCGGTGGCCCTCTAGGCAGGACATTCCTAGCACGCAGAGAATCAGCAGCGCCACCGGAAACCTCAGCTTCTTCGCCATCTGCAGACTGTGTTGTCGCACTCGGGCGACGCATGCCATGGCGCCAGGTGGTTCAAAACCTAACTGCCCACTGTCAGACTCGGGCCGTGGAGCTTCATCATCATCATCATCATCACCATCACCATCACCATCATCATCATCATCATCTCGGCTGAGTACGGAAACATGAGGTTGTTCAGTTAATGCATTCGAGTCGTTTGCCATCTCCCTGAGCCCTAAATTGTGAGCGTTGAATGTTTCGCGCTTTTCTTTTCCTTGTTAAAGTCTCACAGGGCCCCTGATTGAATGCTCTTCATGGCAGCAATCAGGTGCGCCCTGAACCCTAGCCTGGGGCTGCGCCTCTTGAGCATGCAGAGTCCGGAATTTTCTGATGCTAGCGCGCGAAGCGATTGGATCGAACTTGGACGAGGTGTAGGTAGGGTGTGCTGTCTACTTCATGGTGTGCTGCTCTTTGCGGAGCTTACGGCTTACGGTGTGAACCCCCGAGGTTGTGCAAGTAGCCCAACGCTGTAGGGTTTGTGACGATGTTTCCAATCAGCTTTAAGCAACCCTAAGCCATGAACCCGAAACCCTCAACTGCCCTACGATGCAATGCCTTTCAGCGTCTGGAGTTTCGGGCGCTCCGAGATTTCGTGGCGAGGGAAAGGGGGGGTGGTCTGCTGCGCTTGGTCCTAAGGCTTGACTGTAGATCAGGGAACCCCAGAAGCTAGGCTGCCTGTGCTCCGGGCCTCTGTAGGACTTTGCGCAGAGCACAGCTCCAGAGGTGTTCACATCCAGTCCTCAGCAAAGCGCACGCTTTGCGCAGGTTTTGAAGGGTCAGACTTTGCCCCGAACGTGGTTCCTTCACCCCAAGCTCTTTCCGGGGCGGGGTGGGACGGGGAGGCATGGGTGGTGCAGCCAAAGCCTTAACTTAACCCTAAGTCGCAACCCATGCTTCATCCCAGGTGATTTGACTTCGCGCTCTTTTTTTGCGGGGGAGGGGGGTTTACAACACAGAGAGTGCTTTGGAAGGAAGTTCCGACGACTAAAAAGCCCCGCAAGAGCTCTATGGTGTAAGGGACCTCAGGTCCCAAGCTGCCAAGCCCCTGCACTCTTTCGGGGTTTTCGAGGCAAAGGCTTTGGGGATGTTTGGGGGGTTTCGGGCGTTTGGCGTGGGGGCGGTAGAAGCTTGATCAGCTCGTTTTGGAGGCCCTGCCAGGTTGCTAGTACTCGGGCTGCAGCGCGTGAGGTCTTCCATTGCTTGGGTTTTTTCGGGAGGGTTTGGATTTAGGGTTTAGCGAGTCCGTAGTTCTGCAGGTGGGGGCTGCTCTGCGTTGGATTATGTAGTCTTAAAAGCTACCAGAAACCTTCATGCAAACTGCTGAGACGTCGATGCCATGCTCTTTCCGAAATCTGATCTGGTAACCCCCATCCTCATTCCAAAAGCCCGAACCACCTTATGCAAGCATCGGTGGACGATGCCGTGCTGGGCGGCCTCATCCAACATGATAGGGAACCTTGCAGCGTTTGTGGCTTGAAGGTTTGAAGACAGCGCATTCGAACCTGGGGGGTTTTGAGGGGAGGCTCAGGGTTTGGGGCTCGGTGGGTAGTGATTCCGGGATTGATTCAGGGTCAGCGCTCACACAAAACGCCTCCTGGGATTTGAATCCTAAGCTGGCACCAGCCGTAGAAACGAGTCTGGGGTCTGCTGCTTGAGGCAAAAAAGTCTAGGGTCTGCTGTTGGAGGCAAAAGGGTCAAGAGCTTCAGGGTTTAGAGTTTAGCAAGTCCTTGGGAACCTATGAAATTCTCGTAGGCATCGACCCTTGAGTCGATTTCAGATTTGGGTGTGGGGTTTAGGGGTTGGGATGTTACCCTAAAACCTAAACCCTAAACCTAAACCCTAAAACCTAAACCCTAAACCTAAACCCTAAAACCTAAACCCTAAACCCTAAACCCTAAACCTGGGGTTGAACGGTAGCTGTGGGTTTCCGTTTTAGTAGGCCTTGGACCTCATCCCGGATGCAGCCGCGTCTGCTGTCCATCATGTTGAAGCCCTTCGCGAACCCTAGCTTACGGATTTTGGGGCGTAGGCTTTAAGGGTTCAGGGTTTAAGGGAAGGGCATCTCGGTTTCATGGTTAGGAATTCTCCCTCCCCAGAGCTTGAGAGTCGTAGATCCCCTACTGAGAGCGAAGAGCGGTTCCATTCACCCCGAGCCCTAAAACTTGAACCCTAAACCCCAAATGCCCAATCTGCTAAATTTTTTCCCAAGTAGCTTCTCCCCCCAGTGCTGCATCAGCCATTCCTGGGCTCAGGGGCACCTTCTGGGATTTGGGGTCCAGCATGGCAATGCACCCCTTCAGTGGGAGGCATTCCGAGACGATGTCTTCTTAATCTCCTCAACGTCGAACCAAGCCCCCAAGTGCACTCCGTAAAATGGGGCGAATATGGGGCCCTTCATGATTAGAATAGGGGTTTGGGGGGGGATATTACAGTCTAATCCTAAATGGACCATAGGGGTATACTACTAGTAACCCTAAACCCTAAACCCTAAACCCGAAACCCTAAACCCTAAACGGCCCTAAACCCTATGTTAGGACTCATACCCCTGGCATCTTCTCGCCCAGCAGCCTGAAGGTGCCTTCCTGCCGTGAAAGTCGGGACCTCCTGCGAGCCGGCACTTTGGGGTTTGAAGGCCTTGAAGGTAGGGTTTGGGGTTTAGGGCTTAGGGTTTAGAGTTTTTTTTTTTTTTTTTGGGGGGGGGGGGTGGCTTAGGAAGTTTAGGAGCTGGAAGCCGACAAACTCTTCGAGAGTGTAACCCGCAAAACGCTAGACTCCAAACATGTTGAAACCTGAGGCCCTAACCCAATGAATGTACAATCTCACTTGAAGGTTCGAGGTGATTGAAAGAATGGCTATCAGTACCTGAAGTAACACAACCTACCGTACAACTCTACCTACAGTCCGACCATGAACCTTCAAGCACCCCAAAGCCCACCGTGCCTCCCGTTCATCCCACTCGTCGAAGCTCACGGAGACATTCCAGCCGGGAGGCTTGTGCACCACGAAGACTTCCCCTGCATCTGCCCCTTCAACCCCTTCAACCCTCACAGGGCCCTGAAAAATTCTTCCCAAGTACCCATGGGGTAAACAGTACTACCTTAAAAGAGGCCAAAAGTTGAGAAGTTGGGTTTTGAGCCAAGGAAAACCGAACCCTCCAAGCCATGAGCCTACGACCCTGAAGGTGTAAGACACCTGCACACTTCTGGCATCTTTGAGCACACGAAGCCCAACACGCCCGGCCTACAAACACTGCAGGTTCGGGGAGGGAACAGTTGTAAATCCCATACCCTTGGCCGTCTTCAAGGGCTTCGGGTGGAAGGGTCAGCAATAGGGTGCAAAGCCAGGGCCTTGGACTTTTGGAGTCACCCCCCGAGCCCGTCGATAAGTATAACTATAGTGGCGCCTCGGTCTGCTAGGATGGTGGGCTCCGCATCATGGCCACCTTTCAGCGGAATCTGTTCAGGTCCGTATTGGCACCGGTGGGCTTTGGGCACTGGGGGTTCCATTGCTCAGGAAGCGAGTCGGGAATTTCCCTTCAGGTCTGAGTCATGCGAGGGCTCGCAGATACAACAACATACGGACAAACTAATCTTTAGGTTTTGGCCCGAGCCCCGAGCTACGCTTCCGTCATAAACCCGTTAGCCATGGAGCCCTCAGGACTGCAAAAAGTCCCAGAGCCCCCTCTTGCCCAACCCTAAACTGCTAGTGAAGCCGAAGTACTCAGAAAGCTTATATTCCGAAGAAGCCCCTACGTTGCCAGAGCGCCGTGGAGCTCCATGGTCGGACGTGGGCCTGGAGTCTCCAAAGC